TTTAATGCAGATTGGTTGTTTTTGTTTACTTCTTGTTAGGCTATTTTGGAACTGAGTTCTAGCAACTGGTTTTCAAGCTACATTTTTTGAGAGTTTAGTTGTCAGAAAATTCTCCTCAAAGGCGAACTAACCTGGAAGGTTGTGCCGGGAAGCATTTGACAAAACTTGAGGCATTTGGCTCCTGCAGTGGTTCGCTCTACTCCTTTGGCTTGGCAGCATTGTGAGTGGTCTTTGTCCTGAGCAGCACATGACATTAAGTCGCGCCCATATGATTGGGGACAAGGATCGCTACCAAGGAACATTCCGGTGAGCTGAAACAGAAGTGAGAGATTTATTGTTCTTTGGAGTGCTCTGCACAGTAGCTGTTGCACTTTCAAATTTTGTAAGTGGTCATGTTTCCAGAAGTTTAAGGGCGAAGTTTTAAGTTGGCAAAGTAGTTTCTCGCTACAGTTGAAGCTCGGCTTTTTTTGAAAAAGTAATGTTAAGATATAGTATATTGCTGTCATGTGACGCTAGGCGTTCAAAGAAACAAATACTTATAAGTAATGAACTGAATTCTTTCCAGAAGTTTCTAGAAAAAGGTTTTACGACTATGGCAGCAGATTTTTAAGTTAAAATGACAGGTGTATCTATTTCAATAGTTTTCTATAATTACGCAGAGGAAGAGAAAGGTAGAACATACCACTTTCTTGTTGAGAATATCAAAGTTACATCGGTTTTCGCATTTGGGGTCTACATGTCTCTCTTTACAACACTTTAGGAACATTTCATTTGCATCCTGTAATTCCATTTACTGCTCAGTGAATTCTAGTAAAGGTTACTCATTGCAAAGCAATGTTTCTTAAAATTTTGTACGCAGGAGCTTTGAAAAATGATGACAAGATGTTTGTTTCTTGTCTACCTGACTTGGCGATTCATTCTTTGTTCTTTTTTCTTTTAAGGAGGGTTTTTCTGCTACATCTTATTTTGCCTACAGAATAGGCATTCTAGTTTAAATGTACCGATTCCAATCCAGAAGTTTTTGTTGAATTTTGTACAGGTGCTGTTGTGGTTGCTTGAACTGGCGGTTGCGTTGTTGTATAAGTTACTGGAGCAGGTGTTGTGGGGGAAGTTGTTGTAGGGATGGTGGTAGTAGTGGTAATGGTAGTGGTAGTTGCTACAGTTGTAGTAGTGGTTGGGTATGTGTTTGTGGTGGGATGTGTGCGTGTAGTAGGATGCGTATGTTTGGTTTTTTTTCTAAAATGATGGTTGTATTTTTGAGGGAATTGATCTTTCTACTCAGTTGAGTCTCTAGAATCATTTAATAGGTGTAGGAAATGTCTGTTGAATATAATTTTTTACCGCTGTTTATCCGATGTTGTCGTTGTGGGGCGCTGACTCATTTGATGCTGTGGAATTTGTCGACTATCTGCATTTGGTGTTGCTGGAGAACTGGAGCTTTTGCCTTTGTATGACGTTATGTATTCATCGGGAGTAGAAGTTTCTTTTTTGTGAGATTCTCTCAGAGGGCTAGACTGCTGAAATGTTTCAGTTCGTAATCTTTTTTCTGTGAGCAGTTTTCTTTGCATGTTCTTTGTTTGGTTTGGATTAAAGCAGAATTGATTGAAAGTCTCAGTGCAGTAATTATGTGTAAAATTTTAGAGAATCTGTTTTTGTTGATTTAAAGCTTGGCAAAGTTTTTTTGATATCTGTTGCTACCAATCATAAATTGTTTACTGGTTTTATGTTGTTTTTTTTTTTTTTTTTTTTGGGGGGGGGGGGGTTTTTT